GTGTTACAAACTAACACATGACTTTGCAATTTTTCGCTTTGATTTCCTCTTATTGTACCTGATCCCGTCTTCATCTTCTGCTCCCCGTACCAACTGTTGACCAGGACTCCCTGTCCAGGACCAGAGGAGGCGCCTAACACAAACTGGCCCATCAGGGTGGCATTTCTCGGAACTGCCAGCGGGTGGAAGTCAGGGCTCAGATGCTGCTTAGTGCAAGTGCGGTTCTTGTTGTTTATTTTGTACATAACACCCTAGAGGACAGGGCACCATTACACAGTCATTTATGGTATCCAGGATAAACTTGAATGCAAATATTACTGCTGTGCCGTCGCTACCTCTCTGTACAGTAGAAGCACATCAAGGTGGTAGGTCTTATTGTCATAGAGTCCAAACTGTCTGAAGCGGATGCGCTCTCCCAGTCCATCATAGATGTACTTGGAGAATGCCAGCAGCTTCTGATTTCCAGTGGACTTTCAAACAGAGGCAAATGTTCGTCATTGCAGATTACGTCTCACAGATTACTCTGAATAACTAACAACTGCATTAAGTATCAGTTGTTATTGCAACACTGAAATGTAATAGAGGGATATGAGAGGAGACTTACCACAGACAGGCTTCCGCTCATCAGTGGCGGGTATCCTGTGAAAATTAAAGAAGGATTTTGGAGGATTTACACTACGGATGTGCTACATTGCTAACTTGGTCATTCTACACTGAAGCAAAAACAAATCGTCACCATCAGTTCTGATGCTAAAGCAAGAGAACTGCTGCATTTGGAGACATCTGAAGAAAGAGGACTTTCTTCAGATGTCTTGCGTACTCACTGCAATGCCGTGGTCTCTGAGCGAGACAGCCCACGGACAGGCACACAAGCAGGACGAGGACCTTCATGCTGTTCGATCGCAGATCTGAATGTTTTCCTCTGCAACAGCTGCTCATACGATACTGCTTCAAAAAGATCACTTCCTTAAAAAACAAGCAGGTGATACTCCCATTCTGTTTTCGCTGCCAAGTTTTTTGTTTGTCATTTCTCAATACACCAGTCATGTGAGAATAAAAGTCAAGGGGAATGTCTTTTAATAGTAGAATAGTGTGTGAATGTGAGAGTGAATGAATAGTGGCATTGTAAAGCGCTTTGGGTGCCCTGAAAAGCGCTATATAAATCCAATCCATTATTATTATTATTATTATTAGAAACTGCGGTTCAGCTGTTTTGACACCTAACTAACAAACCAAGGGGAGGAGCTAGAAGGCTGACTGAAGAGAGAGTTGAGAGGACAGACTGCATGTTGATACAATGTAAAAAAGGCAGCTTTTGTAACCTTAACCACTCCCACCTTACAAACTACTTTAATAAGCTAGAAACTATGTCTGCTGGTAAACGTGACTAGTGTCACCTCTCTGGTGAACCCATCCAGAAAACAAAGAACAACTGGAAACCAGCAAGGTGGGCATTAAACAAAGATTTTTGATCCTCCAGGACTTTTTTTTTCTCTTGAAACCATTAGGTCACATTAATATGTTGTTGTTTTTTGTGTCAATAGACAGATTTTGAGAATACATCCTTCTTTACCTTTTCTTATGAAACAAGAAATGCACCGCATGCATTCATGTGCTACATTTGTATTGATGAACACAACATGTGGCCACAACACAGTGTTAGAAAATGGGAAGTAAGACAAGCAAATATGACCTGTTACAAAACTAAAAAAACAAAAACAAACAAAAAAACACAAACAAAACCAGATGATTTGTCGAACCGCTTTATCATTTTCTGCATGCCAAAAAGAATGCAAAGTTCATCCCGGTTAGAGATACACAGAAAGAACAATGAGGCCAAACTTGTCCTCCATGTTTCAAACGGGAATACGGGGGAGACAGCATATTACATGCAATTACATGCCATTCATTTTTATTTATATAATGCCAATTTACAACATTGGTGATCTCAGTGCACTGCGTAAGGTAAAAACCCGCCGAAGCCTTCACTGCAGCTTAAAGAACAAGCTGGTGAAATCTTCAGGCTGCTCTCCATTCGCCGTCATCTCTGTTGGGCAGAAGTCGGGGGGGTTGAGCTGACCGGGGTCAGAAATCCCAATGACGTTGTTGAAGAAGCTGGTGAGCACAAAGAAAACGACACAGCTTTTACTTGGATGCACGCAAAC